AAATATAATATACACAACCTAATCATATACAAGTAGCATGAGAGCGATTTATCTTCATTGTTGGGCAATTATCTTCATATAGTGATATTTATTTTAGATGAAATTTTGAATCTTTTTTTGCTGTTGTTGAACATTTTCAATAAAAAGCCAACGCGAAATAAGACTTTTATAGAGGTTCCAAAAAAAAAAAAAAAAAAAAAAAACAAAGTTAATAAATATGTGAAAATGCAGGTGCACATCATGGGTTTTACAACTAATTAACAAATTATTCATGTGTTTGTGATTTAAGATTAGCATACAGTGTCATACAAGAAGACAAGGTTCTCAATGACAAAATGTATAAAGTTCCTAAGTTTTTTAGAAATATAGAAATGATTAAAAAACTTAAATGAAAATTAAGCCCGAGGCATTTATCAATGACTTTATGATTTTCTTTTTGATTAACATGAGTGATTTATTGAACTATGCTTAGTTGAATTCAGAATTATTAGCCCCCCTGAATTATTAGCGCTTCTGTTTATTTTCCCCCGCAATTTCTGTTTAACGGAGAGCAGATTTTTTTAACACATTTCTAAACATAATAGTTTTAATAACTCATCTCTAATAACTGATTTATCTTTGCCATGATGACAGTAAATAATATATGACTAGATATTTTTCCAAGACACTTCTATACAGCTTAAAGTGACATTTAAAGGCTTAACTAGGTTAATTAGGTTAACTAGACAGGTTAGGGGAATTAGGCAAGTTGTTGTATAACGATGGTTTGTTCTGTAGACTATCGGAAAAATATATAGGCTAAAGGGGCTAATAATTTCAACCCTAAAATGGCTATTAAAAAATTAAAAACTTCTTTTATTCTAGCCAAAATAAAACAAATAAGACTCTCTCCAGAAGAAAAATATTATCAGACATACTTTGAAAATTTCCTTGCTCTGTTTAACATAATTTGGGAAATATTTAAAAAAGAAAAAGAAATTCAAAGGGGGGCAAATAATTCTGACTCTAACTGTAAAATAGTCACACCATAGGGCTGTGTGGACAAAAATAATAATAATAAAATAATAATAATATAATGTTTTTTGAGTTGACTAAACTTTTTAGGCTAAGTACTGTACAGTAGTTGACTCGATTTAAGATGAGTCAACTCAAAGAAAACCATTTACTGCATGTGTAAAATCATCAACATCACGTCAGCAACCCATATCTGGCATAAAATACATTCTGAAAGATTATTTCTCATTAAATCAACTACACTTACATGAAAATTCGAACGAAATTGATAAGAGTACAATATATACATAATGGAATCTAAAATCTAAGGTTAAGGTTGCTGCTCAGTTCCAAGCAAAACAAACAATTAAGTTAACTTAATCTCCTTAATTGTTTTACAAATTTAAATAGTTTAAACATAAAACAATGAAGTTGTCCCCCAAAAGCTTAAGAATTGTGTTGTTTCAATTCATTCAATTAGTTTGAGCATGCAGAAAAAGTCATTTTCATGGTGAAACGATGATTACAAAGATCAAATCTACAGTAGGATGTTTTGGCCATTTGGCTCATCTCCACACTTTCACCAGACACAGCAGTATGACATCGTAAACAGCTTCCTAACACACTCTTAAGAGTATCATTACTGCTACAGTCCTGTCTGTAAGTGTTTTTTTTTTTCTTTTCTCTGACATCTGTTTTCTTTTGTTGTCTGAATGGGAGGTAACAAAACCTGTGATTAGTGTTGTCACGATACAACTGCTACGGTACCAGAGAATCAGTACCAGGCATATACCAATCAACCATTTATGCAACCAATTTCCCTAAAACTGTTGGAACTATTTAAAAATAAAAGAAATAAAAGTTAAAATGCTAATCTATAATGATTAAACTCATTTTGCAAAAAGCTTTTAAATAGTAACAAGTGAGCGTAAACTTTAAAAAGGTTCATAAAACTATAAATATAACACATATGTAATGTTATAACATAATATCCCGCACACTAAAAGGTTTCATTACATTTTTAAGACAAAATGTAAAACAAAAGTGCATTACCACAAACTTTATATAACAAAGTGAGTGGTGTCAGTAAAAAGTTTAATAATAATAGTATTATATATTATATTAGTAATAAATATATATTAATATATGAATATAATAATGTCAAAATAAAATAATTAAAGTGCAATGTTTATCGAAAGTTTAATTCATTACCACCCCCAACAATTAATTTTGATTTATTTCCATGTATACAACACACTCCTTTCCAACTCACTGCTGAGAAAATAGTAAAACAGATCATCTGCAACAGGATAAAGAATGAGCCTCCTCCATTCGGCCTCTTTACTGTCACTTTACTTTACTCCTTTACTTTTGTGGATAAGGAAACAGTATTGTCCACCGCACTCCACTGAAGACATTCATTAGCCTACATGTTTAATTTTGTTTGTTAAGGTTAAGGTATTTCTAAATTTATTTCTAATTTCCAGCAAACTAATAAATTAACAATAATATTGAAGTGTGGTCAAAAAACTGAGTTATATCCAAACACACATCCTATTCTTATGCCCCATATGGTGACGCATGCGTCTCCAAAACCCGACAGATGCAAATAATATTTTTGGAAAACATTTTAATCCTTTAATTTTTCATAAAATGTAATGATATTTGTGAATTGCTGTACATCCTTTGTGTAATAGACAATGTCTAAGCGTTTAGACCCGCACAGTGAATAACTAACTATGCTGGACATTAGGCCAGCTTTTCGATTGGTCAATGGTGCAGTCTATTTCAATTCCTCAAAATGGCAATGCGACAGCAATGCACCTCAACATTTGTCCTCTTCAGACCAGCACACCCATGAGTACACATATGGCCTGTTTCCACTGAGAGGTACAGTACGGTACGGGTCACCTATATCAGGCTTGCGTTTCCACTGCCAAAAGGGTACCAATGGTCAGCGCGGTGTACGACAAAAAGTCGCGGTCGACGTCATTTTTACTCAAGGAAATTTTACAGTAAAGCTGTACGGGTCATTCACATATCATGAGAAGCTCTTCTCACTAAACAAATGCTTTATACACATAAATACTTGTGTAAAATGTTCATTACTAATCTTTCTATGAACATGATTTGATTAAAACTGCAGATCAGTGATAATAACCTACTGTAACATCTGCAATTATATGAAATAAAAAAATTAATGCAACATATATGAACACATACAGACTCTTACAGTCTCCGATATGTTATCAATTACAGAAGAACAACATACGACAGACATTTAGTCCTTATTTGGGTTCAAAAACAACAGGAAATATAGCCCACAGTCAGTGCAAACCTCTCATTTGTGTCTTTAATTTCACCAGCACATGTAACCTCTTGTTAGACAATAATTGCATCATTCCGAGTTCATAGTAGTCCAAAAGGTGCTGATAATGGTTAAACATGGCAGTTTGTTCATGTTTTTTGTTGCAAAATCATTATCATCATTTGTTGCTGTTTTTTCTGGCTTCTTCTTTGTTTTTTCACGCTTCACTCTCGTGTTTATCCCTTTTTGAAAGGATCGGATGTCAGAAGCACTTCAATAATCACGCGCATGTTATTAACATGAGCTCAAGTTCGTTATTTCAAATATAACGTAGACGCGCGGCGAGCTCTCAGAAGAAAGTGAAACCGCTCGCTCTTTTAGACGGGCTCGTAAAACAACAACAGGACATAGCGTATTTTGTTCTTCTTGGCTTTTTGGCTGTTCATCAAGACAACGGCAAGGTTTGTCTGAGCTCTGGTCGACCATGACTCATTATTATATGTTATCTATTATTATGGTGTAATGTCTCGGCTGTGTTTTTAAAAATGAAGGTTCCTTTGTTTTCATTCTCCTGCTTCTGCAAGTGACGTATCTCTGTAAACCAATAGCATTCAGTTGTGCGTCTTTTCTTGTGCTAGGTATCCTTTCGAAAGGGTTCCCAAAAAGTACGGTACGGTTAGCTTTTTGGTACACTTTGACAGTGGAAACGGCCATATAAGCGCACCGAACCGTACCGTACTGTACCACTCAATGAAAACTAGCCAAAGGTGGCACAAACGGATTTGCTATTTAAACAACATGCTGTAAAATGTAATAAATACTGTCACGCTGGTCTGAAAATAGCACAGAAATCATGCCAAACACATCTTACGCCTTATTGCGCTGGGTGTAGGGCCCATATACACTTAAAATGTTTTGGGGTAGAGTAAATCATGGACTTTTTTTAAGTGATTAAACCCAATTTTTTACTTTTACCTAATAAACTATTTAGTTTAAAGAAATAATTGACTTCATTACAATGAAATCTCATGATTTAAAGATAGTCATATTTTATTAATATAAATATTTTAATGCATTATTATTGTCTTTAAAGTTACCTTTTAGATATATTAAAGCCCTAAACAAACTGACTTAACTTCATAACAAAACAGAAGTTTTAGCCAAATTACAGATTATAGTTCAAGCAGGAAGCAATGGTCTGTGTTTCGGTCTAACCTCTTCTCACTCCTCAGTTTAACTGGTAGAATAAAAGCAAGTCACGTTTTTCTTAGGTTAACTAGAAGTCATTCCAATAATTACAAGCTGGCTGTGAGAAGAATAAAAAGAAAGCACAGCTTCCTCTCACAAGTCGTCCACTTCAGCAAGATGAAGTCACAAAAAAAATCTTAATAAGAAGTGAGCAGAATAAATGACTCTAAACAGAACAAAGAGTCTTCTTCTTCCCACGTGCAATTGTGTGTTGACAAACAAGTTCCACTTGAGCAAAATGGAAGTATTGTGAGGTGCATGGCACACGTGTTGACGGCTGGGACCAGACAAGAGGCGGAGGAAAATTTTCTGCCAGGGGGAGAAGGTGGGGTGGGGAGGGGAGAGTGGTGGTAGGTGGTGGGAAGTGGGGGTCAGCGACTGTGGGCCTGAGCAAAAGGGGAGGCACAGCACACGTGAAAAGATATTTAAGCCGCATCCACTGCAGGCCCTCATCTCAGCAGACATTCGATTCTGAAGAGCAGAGAAGAGACACTTGTCTGGAAAATATTCTACAGACTGTGTTCTTGTGTCATCTGAAGAGCATTCACCACTAGGATCGATTTGGGTCTTCCTCAAAGCAAACTTTCTTCACACTAAAGAACGGCAAAAAGATGACGGCTACATCGTTGACTCTTTTGCTTCTAGTCCTGGGTCATGCCATGGCTCAGAATGTTCTCAAGAAGAACTTGGCAACCCCGAAACCGGTAAAAGGAGCACAATGCTGCGATGAGGTGCGCTCCCTAAAAGTCCAAGTAGCCAATCTGAGCAGCATGCTGGAAGACTTGAACAAGAAGCAGGAGTCTGAGCTTATGAAGGTGGTGCGGCAGATGATGGAGCTGGAGAAGCTTAACCAGCAGCAAGAGGCCCGTGTTACCGAGGCCGAGAGCAAGTATTCTGAAATCTACAATCAGATTGAAATCATGCAGCTGCAGGCCGCCCAGTCTGCACCACAGCAGAGCACTTCAGGTGAGTTCTGACACTCATCGTGTGCTTGAAAGCTTAGTTTCCAGGCACACACCATGTGTTTCTCTACTCAGTAGGGTCATTGGTCACATATGCTGGCTGTCGACATACATCACAGCGCCAGAAGTTGTCCTTGTAGGTCACGGGATAATGTAACCCACAGATTTAAAAAGATCATTTTGTTGTGTTAAAAGAAAACTTGATGTAAATTCTCCTAAATATTTTAAAGAGGGGACTATTGTAGTACTCTAAAGGACAATATTCTCTACATTAACTCATTAATTAACATTGGCCTTTCTCATTGAGGAGATAGTTTGCCCAAAAAGGAGGATTTACTCACTATTTGATCCAAACCGTAATCAATTTCTTTGTTCTATTGAACACAGAAGAAGATATCTTAAAGAAAGCTGGAAAAACCACTTCAATGGTAGGAAAGACAAATAATATGGAAGCCAACTTTTTAAAATATCTTATTTTGTGTGTAAAAGAAGAAAGAAACTCACAGGAGGTTTGAAACAAGCGAGTAAATGATGACAGAATATTCATTTTGGCCTGAATTAAATCCCTTTAAATCTAAATTACACATTGATTTCCACAATGAACAGTGAGCTGAATTTCCAAGCTAGTGGCTTGATATGAAGTAAACAGACGTCTACTTTGGAACGGAAGATGATAGCTCTATTTCCCTGATGCATTATCCAGAAAATACTGTAAAAGATACTTCTTACAGTAAATGCACTGTAACACGAGACAAGAAAATTTGGAGCGGAAAATAAAAACAAAGGTGTAGTTTCATTAGAACGCTTTAATGCTTGCACATGGACTTCCTCAGACACACACGTTTCCATTTGAAAACCATTAACATAGCTGTACCCGAGAAGCTGTAAAATGTCTGGAAAGCAGTTGGCCGTAATCAGTAGGTAATAATACAGGTTTACCATGTGTAGGAATGTCTGGCTTTACAACAGTAGCCAAGTCACAGCAGGTAATTTGTGCTTCTTGCTCTGAGCCCACAAGAACTACGAAGCACTATTAGACTACTTATTAGTCTTCTAGAAAAACGGGTGTTAAACTAAGCGAGTCGCGAAGCTGTAATTTAATATCCAAATTAGTAGTTCCTTATTTGTTAACGGCAATACTGCAAACAGTAAACAGATGCGTTTGAAATGTGTCTTTAGCTGATATGAAGTTGAATTCAACGTTAAATAATTATTTTTAAAATGCTCCATCTGGAATTTTCTCTCTTTTAGATGCCATCTATGATTGTGCATCCCTTTACAACAAAAACTACAAAATTTCCGGAGAGTACAAACTGCCGAAAGATGACTTCCTTGGAACACCTGAACTCAACGTAAGCCTTAATTCTCGCTCAAGTCTTCATACTTTAACTTGAAAGATGATCAGTCACTCATTTTTGCTTTTTTTTTTTTAGGTGTTCTGTGACATGGAGAACAACGGTGGTGGCTGGACTCTCATTCAGAGACGTAAGATCGGGCTGACAAGCTTCAACCGGGACTGGAAGCAGTACAAAAACGGTTTTGGCACAATCCGTGGTGATTTCTGGCTCGGCAACGAACACATCTTCCGTATGACCAGACAGCCCACAGTGCTGAGAATAGAGATGGAGGCAAGTATGCACAACATACCTGCCAACATTTGTCCACGAAAATCCAGGAGATCAGGGGGAGGGGGTTAGGTTCGGGGTTGAGGTGTCTAAATGATACTCTTGAGAACCGGGTACTGTGTACTGTGGTGTAAAGCGTGTTTTGGGCAACCCAGGGGTTTCACAGACCGTACCAAAATGCTGAGGATGGGGGGGGGGGAGGTGCGGCGTTGAAATTAAGGGAGTTTTCCGGCATAAATAACAAAACGGGAGGGTGGCGGGTGATGGGTCTGAAATACAAGAGACTCCCAGGAAACCCGGGAGTGTTGGCAGGTGTGATGCACGACCAAAAAAAAAAATCAACTAATTTGATCTTCATTACTGAATAGTAACCCATTTATAAACATTCTGCACATTTTTTCAGGACTGGGAGGGTGATGTACGCTATGCCGAATATGGCTTCTTCACATTGAGCAACGAAATGAACAGCTACAAGCTGCTCATCGCCAACTACAGTGGAAACGCCGGAGACTCTCTGCGCTACCACAATAATACTAACTTCAGCACGAAGAACAAAGATAACGACAAGTGTCTGGACAACTGTGCACAACTTCGCCAAGGTAAAATAAAAATCAAACAAACAAGCGTTTTCAGTAGAACTGAATTTTGTGACTTAATAATAATAATGGCTTTCTCCTCCAGGTGGATACTGGTACAACTGCTGCACTGACTCCAATCTGAATGGTGTGTTTTACCGCTATGGATCACATACCAAAAATCCCGATGGCATCTCTTGGTATGGATGGCACGGACCCAATTATTCATTGAAAAGGGTGGAGATGAAGATCCGGCCCCAGACCTTTGTACCATAAAGACTTGCTAAAAACTAATCTTGTGCACCACTAAACCTGGGTATCAATGGATCAACAGTATAAATCTTGAAACAGTCAACTATTTCAGGGGGAATGCGTCTGTATAACAGAGTGTTGTAAGACTGGATTATGTGATAAACGATGTTTGATTGTAAATTGCATTTTATACAAGGTATTTATCTCGTAAATATGTTTATATTTTCTTTAGCCTTTTCCAGAGGATTTGTTATGCACATGATCATAGAGCACAAAGGGGAAAAAACAGCAAAAGATTAAATTGTGATGTTCAGTTTTGCTAGAGTGCGACTTATTACAGGTCAGAGAAATTCACTGGTAGAGTAAACTTAACTCTGTAAAAAGTAAAATATTGAATGGTTAATAAAATGTATTTTTAAGAAAAAAAAAAACTATGATTCGTCTAAATGAAATGCGTATGCTACAGTTATGAATGACACAAAGCACACACAACATTCTGAAACATCATTAAGAATGACTAATATGATTCACATACAAATACCTGACAAAAGTCTTGTCGCCTATCCAAGTTTTAGGAGCAACACATAATAACTTGACTTCCAGTTGATCATTTGGTATCAGAAGTGGCTTATATGAAAGGCAAAGGCCTCTAGATCACACTTATTTCACCAAAGTAAAATATTTAACAAAATAAAATTATTAAATAATGGCTTGATTTTTAATTATTTCATTAGAACAGTAAGGTCTGACTTTGCGTATGACAAAAGTCTTGTTATTTAACAGAAATAATGTACAACATAGAATATAAAATCATGGTGTAATCGAGAAATAATTAATATTGTGTATGACTCGTAAGAGCTTGGAGGACTGCATCCATACATGACTCAAATCACTTATTAATAAAGTCATCAGGAATGGCAAAGAAAGCTTTCTTGCAGGACTCCCAGAGTTCATCAAGATTCTTTGGATTCATCTTCAATGCCTCCTCCATCTTATCCCAGACATGCTCAATAATGTTCATGTCTGGTGACTGGGCTGGCCAATCCTGGAGCACCTTGACTTTCTTTGCTTTCAGGAACTTTGATGTGGAGGCTGAAGTATGAGGAGCGCTATCCTGCTGAAGAACTTGCCCTCTCCTGTGGTTTGTAATGTAATGGGCAGCAAAAATGTCTTGATACCTCAGGCTGTTGATGTTGCCATCCACTCTGCAGATTTCTCGCACGCCCCAATACTATATGTAACCTCAAACCATGATTTTTCCTCGATTTGACTGATTTCTGTGAGTACCGTGGGTCAATACGGGTTCCAGGTCTTCTGCAGTATTTTTGATGATTGGGATGCAGTTCAACTCATGATTTACCTGAAAAAAAAATGATCTCCCTGCCACTTTTCCAAATGATCAACTAGAACACAAATTATTATGTGTTGTTCTTACAACTGGGATTGACGAGAACACTTTTGTCAGGTAGTGTACACAGGAACGAGATCAATTCAAACAACTATTACCATTAAAACTAAACAGTCCAAGCACTTTTTATATCCAATAAGAATAGATATCGATTGATATGAAAATGTCATATCATTATTATAATGACCAAAATAATCACAGTTATCAGTATGATCACGGTTTTATTAAAATGACCTGAATGTATTCAAAAATATATAACAAATACTTGCCCCACCAAGTTTTGTATCTGGCAATGAACAAACAACATCTAAAAGTCAAAGCATTAAGCAATTTTGTGACAAACAACATAAACATGGAGCCGTTGATTTGGATTTGTTTGCTTATTTTTGTATCATAATATGTACTTATTCTTTGTGCGTGTGTTTTAATAGGTAATTCAATGTATTGTCTGTAAATCCTGCACTTAGAAAACCCTAACATGTATTCATGTTTATGTTGTGTTTTCATAAAGCTGCTTTATGAAAGCCTAAAAGGTTGTGCGATTTGACGAAAATATCTAATTGCAATTTTTCTGACCAACATTTTGATTTGATTTGTGATTTATTTTGTAAAGTCAAACTTCAGATTTGCATTTCTTAATACACACTTTAAGAGAATGACAATTAAATCTAAACCCAAAACTAAATAAAAATAACACGCAAAAAGTGAATTGAGTTATTATTAAATTATCCAAAAAAAATAAAAATAAAAAATCCATTCATTCCTTGAACAAATACCCCAAACCTGGGTCAAAGCGAGTACATTCCACATGCTCACTTTAGCTTGTTAGCTCTGGGCATTCTGGGAGATCCAGATGAGGTTTCACTTCCAGGAACTACATGCCCTCGCATGACCTTTCAGTGCACTTCAGCACTTCCTGTAAAAAACTAGTGGACACACACTTTGCGTCCCAAACCTCTTATTTCTACCATTTAAGACTCAGCACAACACCTATACTTTAAGAGATAGTTCACCCATAAATTTACATTTAGTCATTTAGCAGACGCTTTTATCTAAAGCGACTTACAATTGAAGAGAACAACTATAACAACTATAAATGGATAGTTGTTTATGTTTTTTTTACTCACTGTTTACTATTTACTCACTCTCTTTATTTTGTTGAACGCTAAAGAAGATATTTTGAAGGCAAAAACTGAAGAAAAAAGCCAATACAGCTTTGTGACAAGCGAAATTATGACTAAATGTTCAGTTTTGGATGAGCTATCCCTTTAAATTTCTCGTTAAATACATTTAATGATTCCATTAATTGTTTTCTTTATAAAATACTGAACTTTAAGATTTCACAAGCTAGGCGGTTTGATACTTGAAGACTCCCTTAAGCAGCAGTCAAGTAGAAACTGTGAGAAAATTTGCTGGTAAATACACAAATATTATTGCTGAACAAAGCACCAACGCTAATCAAATGTGATCATTATCATCATCATGCACAGGAAAAAATGGGAATGCACCAAAATAATAAGCTAGTTACTTTTAATGAAAACAAAACATTTACTGTAATTACCTTTGCAGACCACTAGAACCCTTGTGAGGTATTTATTAGTCTTTCAGGAAAAATTAAACAGCAATAAAATCCTTAACAATTTTTTTTTTATTTTCAGGAGACAATAGGACTATTTCACTAATGATTGCTAAAATCATTCCAAATATATATAAATAGAAGAAAACCTGATTAAAAAAAAAGTCAATTGATATTTAATTCACAACATGTGGCACGTGCATACACATGTGAACTCTTTTAAACCTTGTTTTAAAGTGATTTTGGAGTATTTAAAACAAGTGGATGTTGCGCAACATCAGTAATTTGTACAACTAACTATCTAGTCTATGATTTCCCAGAGATGAGTTGCATATATTATATTATATTATTATATTATTATATTTTATTTAGATTACTATATTTTAATTTTATTAAGGTCAAAATGATCACCCCGTTTAAAATTTTTTTTTTTCAATTGGCTATTTTATAGCCCTTAATAAAAATAAATAAAATATAAATTTCACATGACGAGGCTAATAATATATATATATACATACATATACATGTACATGTTTATATATATATATATATATATATATATATATATATATATATATATATATATATATATATATATATATATATATATATATATATATATATATATACACACACATATATATATATATACACACACACACACACATGACACATCTGATAATATTTTGTCGTCTTGAGAGTGTCTCACTTGTTTTATTTAGGCCAGAATAAAAGCATAAAAAATAAATTAAAAAAAAATTTAGGTCAAAATTACTAGGCCCTTTAAGCTACATTTTTTCCCGATAGTCTACAGAACAAACCATGGTTATACAATAAAATAAACAGGGGGGTCTAATAATTCAGGGGGGCTAATAATTCTGACTTTAACTGTATATATATTTTGTATGTATTTTAGTATAAAACTTATAATCCATTGCACTTTATTGTATAGCATAACTTACAATATAATCTTAACATCATTATAAGTTTGCCCAGAGTGTGTGTTTTCAGTTGTTCTTACATTAATTTGTACATTTAGAACAACTTTAATAACAATTTTTTTGTCAATCACAATAGGTTTCAATTCCAAATGGTGCGAATACCCGTGCATAGTGAATGAGACTCCACCTTATCATCCTATAATGGTCTTTTGATCTGACAAGCAAAATAATCAAGACTGACCGCAAGTCATCAAAAACCAATTAGACTTTTCCCCTAACATTCTCCGCCTTTCAGAGCATCTTTGTTCTTTCCCACACAAAAAAAAACCATAATGACAATAAAACAAACAAGACTAAACAATATCCATGACCTAAGAATCTCAATTAGTACCAGGCCAAAAGATTGGCTCAGTCTTCAAAGTTTATTTGAAATTCCCCCCCACAAAAAAAAAAGCCTTTTATTCTAATTCGGAGATGCATTATTTTGTCAGGGAGGATCAAATTGAGTAACAAACTATGACAAACACTGGAATACACACTAATGTGCATTCCAAGCCACAGAATCATCAACAATATTAAAACAATACTGAATCCTCTTGGACCACTAATATCACCAATAGATCAAGATGGGCATTAATGGCAATTGATTATTGCCAGAATATCAAAACCAACTGTAGGTGGTAGATCATTCTCATATCTGGCACCTAAATTCTGGAACAGCCTTCCTAGCACAGTTCGGGAAGCAGACACACTCTGCCAGTTTAACACTAGATTAAAGACACATCTCTTTACATTAGTACGAATTCAAATAAAATACAAATTCTTTTAAAATCCAAATCCTCTAAAGCAGGGGTCGGGAAGCTTTTTTAAGCAAAGAGCCATTTCAAATTTTTTAGCAAATGCATTTTTTTAAAGAGCTATTGATACTACTATATATAATACAGGTTTAAACGAAACCGTTATGTCCATGCGCAACTCAAAAATAAACAAATCTAAGTCCATGAATGAAAATGAATAGATTTAATAGAACAATTAATTCATAGATTAATATATTTTTTTCTTTTCGCCATCACCACTTATGAATGTTGTCTGTATTTACGAGGACAAGGTTACCACAGAAATGTAGGTTGTTTGCCCTCTGTGTCGCAATTCAAATTTGTCCACAGAGTCACACACGTGGATTAGTTGAAAAATCTATTTATTGTAAACTGATTTCTTATTCATTTTGCTGTGAAAAAAAATAAAAAAATTACACTTAAAAGAAATTGTATTTGTTTCAATAGGAAACCTTCGGATTTCTAGTGACAGTATAATCTTTTAAACTGCTAAATATTACTAAAGGGAGCCAGCTGGAGAGCCACAGATTTTTGGCTAAAGAGCCACATGTGGCTCGCGAGTCATAGGTTCCCCACCACTGCTCTATAGGATTGTTAGTGTGCATTAATTGAGGAAATCGGAGCCTGGAACACTTCCCAAAAGGTATTATGATTTGAA